AAAAACCAGCTGGTTTGACAGGGAAAATATGCAGCATTTTGGATCAAGAACAGTGTGACTGTATAAAAACATATGCCTTATAATTTCTGAATAATATGCAGTTTAAATGGAGTGTACAATTTGATATGCTGTGCTACCCCATCAACTGCCAAACCAAACTTACAAAAAAAAACATCTTATTTACAGTGAGGTGCTTTAAAGACAGCTGAAGCCCAACTGAAATAGCAGGATCTCTCAGATTTTCCTTTTCTCAAGGTCTACTTATCTAAAACTGAGCTGCAGGGACAACTCGTGCATCTTTTACTTCATGGTTGGAGATACCCTGAATGGTAGATTTAGGGGTAAATAAACATATAAAAAGCGCAGGTACACAGTAATGAAGAGTAGCTAAGTATTGAAATAAATCAATGTAATGTCACATCCTGTTGTTAGGGATGCTTAACAAAGACAAATGAGTGGATTCATACTACTACTTAGTACACATGTATCGTGTAGTTGAGGTTTTACAGTTTTCTCAAAGCGTTATGCACAGCATTCTCCAGAATATTTTTTAAAGCAGCTCCATCATTAAAGAGTGTTATTCACTACTGTAAAAGAATAACTAGCTAACCTCTGAAATTCAGGCTAAATAGCTCGCACGCTAGGGTTGCTAGCTTAACGTTTAATAAAAATAAACAAAACTGAGGATACAAAACGGGGTGAATACTTACCAATAACCACTACAAAGATTTTGGAAATGTGATAGACTTTTGTGTCAAATTGAAGTCAAACGATAGCTTCCACTATGAAGTCAACAGACACTGTTAGCTAGAAGTGTAGCCGGATTTAGTATTCAGTGAGGTTTGTTCCCTACAGACACGTTTATCAAGGGTTCAGAGGACTTTGACACCGGTTAAGATACTGTAGTGTCTTTCATACTTGAGGTGTGCCACACTATCGGACAAAGAATGAAAATAAAGTTGTCAAACGGCTTTGGAGCCAATGCGGAAGAGGACGGGGGTGAACTATTTTGGTGTTTGTGCGTACAGACAGCACGTCACGTTCAAGAAAAGTACCACGGGTCCAAATGTCCCTCGATTTCATTCAAGGAAACAAAATAATCAGAGATCATAAAGTTCTGCAATATGTGAATGGATAACTTATTGGGAAACATTGTTCAAGAGCTTAACTTATCATCTTAACATGGAAGAGATATTTCCCAGTTTTGCAATAATAGTTGTCTTTTTTCATTTAAATATTTATTATCTTAATGTTATCTTGTTACAATGTTTTAGTTTTAAGCTTTATATTAATCTTAAAAAAAATGATAGAAAAATCTTTCCCAACAATTCATTTTAGGAATTTGTCAAATCTTGCATGAAACACTAGGCCATCAGAAAGATCACTAAGAATTGTGTTAAGACACACACAAAAACGTTTTAAATGCGTTTCAAATCTCTATGATTTGTGTCAAGGAATCATCTCTATCATTTGAATAAAAGAGGTCATCAACGCCTCTGCAGCTGAGCTCTTGTTTTGCATCTTTCACCAGCTATTGCAGAAAATTCAGTTCAGAATTATTTAAAATGTAGTTATTTAGCCTATTACTTATTTTGTGCATGATGTTTACAACTATATTGGACATATATCATAACAATTTTTTATTTCCCACCACCTTAAGCAAGTGCCCTATGTGTCTGTGGCACAAATTAAATAAAAAAAAGAGGAATGAAACAATGCGTAGACAAATTCAAATTTAATATGTTATATAGAAAAATGAAACCTCAAACTAGAGCATATTTCTGGACAAAATTAACATTTTTAACAAAGATTTATGACTATTATTCACTATATATGGCACAATAATTTATCTGTTAGCCAGAGGTCTGTAGCCCATCTCCCCCTCCAGCTGTTCAGCAGTGAGGGCGCCCAGCAGGGGCTGACAGTCTGGGTTGAACACGGAATAGGCGCTGAGTTCTCCAGGATTTCGGGGAGCCGGGCTGCGGAGTCCTTCGTAGAGCCAGTAGAAGAGGGATATGACAAAGAAGGGCAGGCCGAACTCCAGTTCAACAAACAGACCCAGGAGGACCAACCACAGCAGCACTTTCAGCAAGATGAGGTTTGAGAGGACGAGCTGCCTGGAAGCCAGCCATCTTCCCAAACCGCTGTCCAGCAGCCAGTCTCTGCCGTCCTGAAGAGGAGATGAAGGAGAAAAAACAGGGGGAGAAACATAAAATAAATCCACATTGTTTCACAAAACAAGAGGATATATCTCTAACCCAAACCAGATACTTAATAACCCAACCTCACTCTGACATAAGGTGTGCAGCAAAGAAATGATTCAGACTAATGTCAAATGCATTTGTATCAGAAGTTTTTTTAACAGCAAAACTGTATTGAAAGGTGACAACACATATTTGACAAAAAACGAACACATTCAATTTAAGAACACTTAAATGGGAACAGAATATTTTGAATTTCATATATTTAATACATCAGCAGTTTCATACAACCCATTCTCCATTGTTTGAGAGTGAAATGACGAGTATTTGGTGCCAAAATGACGACAGTTAATCTGTGAAGGTTTCCATTCAAATGTGGCTTCTTACCCTCGGCTGACAGCTGTCAGCAGCAGGTTTGTTGTCCTGTTTCCTCTCTGTCGGTAAACCGTCAGCCATGTCAGGCCCAGCACCTGTGTCCGCCTTTGTTTTTTCCCTGCATTCACTCCCAGCAGCTTCGCACTTCATGACAGCTTTTTCAGACTGTCGCCTGGCTCTGAACTCTGCGAGTTTCTGCTCCATCGAAACTAAAACTCTTCTACCTATCCAATCAAAAAGTATTTCACTAAAGTCAATTAACAATGTTTCGGCGTAAGTAAACGGCGGCTTTTCACGTTAACGTCCACGTTTTAGACATGTTGAGTGAGTTTTCAGGTTTACATGCTAGCAAGGTGTTTATTTACGTATTGCCACAAAGCAGAAAGCGGTGTCGCAAAGACCCTCCCACTGTCGTAGCCGCTGTTGGTTTGCGGCATTTTCACAGCCTTGTTATTAGCTTTGCGTTTCCTCATCAGTGGTAAGCTCACAAACGTTTTCAACATCGTGTTCTTTAGTTCATTGTTTCTGGAAAGTATATTATACGGATTCTGTCACTATCGATGTGAACCTCTTAGGACACAGTTAGTTGGCGTTACATTTCAAATTATTGATAGAAAGAAAACGCTCGATCTCCAACTCATCACAACCTCCTCATTTCTATGTTTTTCTTGATTGGAGTAATTAGTTCATTTCTAAAAATCCTATACATTGCATATTACTTTTAGTTTGCTCGAACTGAGCTCTAGCGATAAACGTAAATGTCAGGCTTTGAATCCATTTGTCTAATTGTATACTGCAACTGTGCTGTGGTACTTTTTATGCAAAATAAAAAAGATATGCTTTAAGTTAATGTTACATTAAATTAATGCAGTGCATCTATTGAAAACCTTTGACATTTTTAAAAGAATTTATAAACGGTATTGTCAGACTTGATATTGTAACTAACATATTTCTGAAACTTGTGTATTAAGACTAGAAATGTAATTTATTTAAAATGACAATATAGATTTTAGTGCTTTTTTAAAACAAGGTTATAAAAATACATGCAAGTATATACTATAGACAAGGTGTTGCTGATTATAGACGTAATAGTGCCTAGATTGAATGTGGCCACTCCACACATGTATAAACAAACTACCCTTAATGACTTCTAACAGTCACATCTTCACTCGCTGTGGTAACTTCCTTCTGCATCAGCCTTCTCACGTTTACAGTAGTTTAATTTGGTCCACTGTGACATCCTGAGTACCATTTGTTGTCTTCTTTTCTTCTGCAGAAATGGCCTCAGCTCCAGCACAGCAGCCCACTCTGACTGTTGAACAGACCAGAGGTAGTTCCCATTTGGTTGTACACATATAGCAGATATGTACAGATAATTACAGTACTGTGTAATAAAAGTATGAGGTGTTCATTAACTTTTGATTACATTTTGTGATTGCTTTTTAGGATATTTGGGAAAATGAAATGGCGTGTCTCTTTCTTTGCTTCCACAGTGGTTTTGAGTGAGGTGATCCAGGCCTTCTCTGTACCAGAGAATGCTGTACGGATGGAGGAGGCTCGAGAGAGTGCGTGCAATGACATGGGCAAGATGCTGCAGCTTGTGCTCCCTGTGGCCACCCAGATTCAGCAGGAGGTTATCAAAGCTTACGGATTCAACAACGAGGGGGAAGGTGTGCTTTTTTAAGTCATAGGAATACTCTGGCATCTCTTTACCAACCACCTTGTACACACATTGATCAATGATTACTATCACATAGTAGAAACATTTGGAATTTTGCTTACTTTATTTGAAACATACATTATGTTTATATTAAATCTCTTTACATTGTTCAGTAAAAATTGCCACTGGGTCATTTAAAAAAAATCGAGAATAATGATATATAATGAAATGTATGTAGAATGACTTTAGTTATTAAAGACGTTAAACTATTCATGACATTTAAACATGTGTACTTGACATTTAGAGTTCAACACTTCTGCAGGCTCCTGTTATAGTACCTTGAATAAGCTTGTTTTTTTGTGGACGCTAACTCACATCGTTCCTGCTTCCTTCACAGGGGTCTTAAAATTTGCCCGACTAGTCAAGATGTATGAAACACAGGATCCTGAAATTGCAGCAATGTCTGCAAAACTGAAGTCTCTTCTGTTGCCACCCCTTTCCACGCCACCTATAGGAGGTGCCATTCCAGCGTCATAGAGCCGCTCACATCACAGCATCAAATGCAAGAATTCTTTCATTTATTGCTATAGATAGACTTACAATCATATTTTTTGGGGGAGATGTCTTTGTAGAAACGTGAGAGCTGCCAATTCATAGAATCCATCCTTACAAATTCTCATGTAACTATTGCTTTTAACTTTTATTTATTTTTTACATTTTACTCTGTAACCACTTTCTTTTCTTTCTCTAAAAGTCACTTTTATTTTAACGACCTTTTTTAAAGAATTTTATATACTGCCATTTGTCTGTTTTGTTACACTGTAAAATTAAAGGTTTTCTCTTAATTTGTGTCACATGGAGATAAATGTGGAAAAGTTGGGGAAAGTTTGGTTTTCATGTATGTACTTTATTAATATATTAGGTATTCATCCATTCACCATATATAAAAAAAAACAATTACACACTGTTACATATATAATATAAATGTCTCAAAAGGCAAGCCTTAACTGTGTTTATGGTAAAACATGACAACAATAACAAACCAAAAAAAAAAAAAGAGTACATGTCTGCTGTCTCTCTCTATTTGGTGTTTTAGTCTGTATGCATGCACATGAAGACAGTGTTGGCAAGAGAGCTACATAAAAAGTTTTCATGAAGACAAATGACTCAGACGCTGAAAAATTCCAATTAAAATGCTACAGAACTATATTTACATTAAAGTGCTCCTTTAGTGTCTTTCAAAATTTCAGTGCAAATCCAACACACTTGTCACCCAGTGATGTGACCGCAACACGGAATAGCTGTTGAGCAGGTGATTTTTCTCATCGACAGTCCAGGTAGGTTTCCGTTTTGCATGTTACCCCAGCAGCTGTTCAGATCCAGTGTAATTTCTGTGAAAGTTTTAAAAAAGTGCTCCAAGAGTGGGACTTCTGTTATCTTCTTCCACCGAGAGACTGAGTCTTAAGAGTAGCTTCATTTATCCATAAAATCACTGTGTTATCACCGATACTGAAGACATTTAGAATCCTGCATTATGACTTCAGTGTATGCAGACTTCTATTTTAGAAGTCATTTAGTCCTTTAGCCCCTGATTTCCAATAAATGCAAAGAGGAGAGGGGCAGGATGGTTACTTCACATCTCAAAGTGACGAAAAATACTTTCGACATATCCCAGCACCCTCTGCCAGTCTGGTCCCTCTGCCTTCAGCATCTCCTCCACCGTCTGGCACATGATTCATAAAAAGTTTTAGGAAGTGAGAAGAAAAAGCATACCATGGGCTTGAATCCCATGATAAAGCCAAAGAAAGGTTTTGGTTCAATTTGAGAAATCTATCAGATTCTCACCAGTGTCGCTCTGATTCCCACTTCCTCACCAGTCTTAAAAGCAAGATCCAGGTTTTCCTTCTGTTAAAAACAACAGGCACAGGTTTATATCAACTCAACATACACATTATTACCAACTTTGATGATTAATAATTAGTTTGTGAATGCGGTCATTTACTTGTTTGACTATATTCAAGATTTTATATCCAACTATAAATAGTTGAATAGATAGCCGATCCTTATTGTCAAAAGTCTTTCAGTGGAGTAATTTGAACTCCACTGTAGTTCCTTTTCAGCACAGCCGGAGTCCAGATATGTTTTCAGAGCTGTTCTTTTGTCAGCAAATTAATAGAAACCTATCCTGCTGAAAGTTTTTGATGAGAGATAGAAAAGAAGGGATTTGGGGTACAGATCTACATGGGTTTCCACTAACAGAAAAATGGCCTTGGCAGATGGACGTTCTGTGGTCTCGGAAATTCCTTTATGCATGCATGCGCTACTCTTCACCTTGTCAGCTGGACTGAGGCTGTCGTACGGGATGCGGTCCGGTAAATAGGTGTGATAAACGGCACAGAGCGCCAAACCGTCCTCCCAGCTGCTGCTGAAGTTGGTAATCTCAATATTCTGTTGCAAAGCCACAAAAAAAAAAAAAAATCAGTGAGATATCCAATTGAAATTTCACGGGGATGTCGAAGATCTCTTCTCTAACCTTGTAACCATGGGTCCGACTTTGGCACCAGCGCAGCAGGGAGTTTCTTCTGGAGCCACCATGGCGCCTCAGCAGGGCACTGAAGCCATCCTGAGGTCTGCAAGGGAAGAAAACATTTGAGCTTTTTGTTCATTATTCACTTAGGACTGATATGAATTATACATTCCTCGATATTCTCAAAAATCACATTGAATGACATTTGATGGGAAACCTCTCCTTCACTCAGATTTACTAAGCAGGAATGCCTCTATCAACAAGTAAAAAGGAAATAGGCTCTCACTTGATGAAATCTGAGCTCTGATCATCTTCCTGTTTTCCTGCAAAACACAAATATAGCCAGAGTCATACAACTGCACCCTTTAGCCTGAAAAACAAAAAAACAGATTCAAGTGTTGGCAAATTTAAGCTGACCCATATAGAAGCTGGACCAGCTGTCCTGCCTCTTTAAAACGCGGTCCAGTCTCCCCTTTGTCGGCTCCTCTTTCTGGGGGTGTTAAATAACAGAAATGACTGAGTGTGAACAGGATGACTTATCAAAGCATCCTTAGATTGCATACAGTCTATCTGCCCAGCATGCTGTACCTTGCATAATGGCAACGTTGTACACAAGTTTTTGGAGTTTCCATTTTGACTGGGGGAGTCGGTGTGAAGCGGAATGCGAGAGAGACTCCTGCAAGACAGGAAAAAAACACGTTTGGCAAGATTTTTTTTTATGACCACAGATCAGAAAATTATGCACAGACAGGAAAATGGCCTTTAAAACCTACTTTAGCTTTAACATTTACTTAATTGTACACACAAATCAAAGTCATTTGTTTTTTCTCATTAACTGCCAATTCTGTATGTTCCTATACTGTATTCCCATTTTTGAATTTACCACGTATCACACAGATGATTATAATCGGGACTTGTTATCAAAGTTTTTCCAGGAGAAATAGGACCTCCAAAGAATAACAAAAATGAGTAAACTATCTAAAAGCAATGTTCCTTTGGATTTGAATTGACTCACCAAGATCTCTCAGACAGCATCACAATCTTTCTTGGATCTTTCTGTCCACGACCCTCCTCTTTCTTCTTCTCAATAGCAGCCAAACTACGAATATATCCTTCTGCCACCCCCTTTCCTGATAGCAGCGTGTTTCCCTGTCCAGTCTCCTCCTTTTCAGGATCATGAGCTCCACTGTCGTCGACTGAATCCTGATTTGCGTTGTTCTCATCTTTATCTTCAGTTTCACTGATAGATCTCTGTGTTTCAACCCCCTGCTCCTCATCTGGTTGATGTTGGTCTGCCTGTTGGTCTGTTTGCTCCTCTTTCAAGCTGCAGATGCTCCTCAGAATATCCAGCTCCGCTCGCTCTTGCTGCAGCTTCACGGTGAGTTCACTCAGCTTGCGGCAGACGCCACTGTGCTCGTGTCTCAGACTCTCCAGCTCTCGCTCCATCTCCCGCTGTCGGCCGAGGGCCTGAGCCAGCTGCTCCTCCACCGCCCTGTGACTCTCCTGGAGCAAACCGAGCGCCTGCTCCGACTCGACCCGCAGTCGGTCGGCCACGGACACCGCAACCTGCAGGTCGCACTGGAACTGACTCCACTCCAGCCGCTCTGTCTGGGAACAGAATAAATGCTGTAACCTCAAATTTAAAAGCCGTTCTCTGTATTAACACTGTTCTCAGTATGGCTCCATTACTTTTGGAACACCAAATATTTGTTTTAATGCAACCAATGCTCATATTTTAGAGCTGCCAAAGTCGCGTAACAATGAAATGTGCTGCATATTTTCCGTCACAAATAACCTCCTTTTGGATTGTGAACAGTGGATGTTCTGAACTGCAGTTTCAACTCACCCTGTTGGTCTCACGGAGTGTGTCCAAATCTTCAACCAGTTCCTCTCTCTCAGTTATCAAACGCCTGAGCAGATCTGATGGGTTGAAAAATAAATGACTCAAAACCAGATTAAAGACTGGCGGCAGAGCTATGTTTTCCTGAGAGATACTATCTTTCATGGAAAAACATTCAATAAGTGAAATGAAAACAGGAGCAGTCATTAACTGCTTTACATACCAAACACAATCAGGATCTGAATTGGCATTAGGAGTTTTAAAAACCCAACAGCATGTGCAGATTTGATGTGTTTAAGATCATTATCCTAATATAGGTGTGACCCTTCTCAAAGACATTTTTTCTTCTATCAGCATTTCCACTAAATGTTTCCCCTCCCAGTAAAATATTTCTTTGGTTGTTGCTTAAAATCCCAACCAAAGTATCCAAACCACCTTCATATTGTCGGAGTCAGAGAATAGTTTCGATTCATAAAGAACTGATTAAAGGAAATATCTGTGCAGGTTTTGCTGATTGCAATATACATTTAGGAAGATTTAAACATCTTGACATTTTGTTGCTAGTCTTGCTGGCTTACAAGAGATCATATTGTTTTTTCTGGAGATACTTTTAACTGCAAAAGCTCAAGTGAGGAAACATCTTTCCTTGCCATGTTCTTACTTCTCATTCCTTCATTGTGGGCATCAGTTGTATTTATTTTCAAAGTTGCCAATTAAATGTTTGAAGGAGCTCATGACAGCTGAGTGCCAGAGTGTAAACATTTTGAATTAAGGAGTTTTTACTACACGGTCTTACCGATATTTCTGTTTATTATTTAGACACTGAACTTTTCCCAATAACTTTGCTTATCACAGAGTCTGACGAGGATAACTCTGAGATCCCTTTAAGCTGTTCGACGGGACGAGAAAAAAGGAAAAAAGGCAAACTGTGACAGCTTACCTACTGCTCCTGCCGTGATGTCGGTACTGGGTGTCAGACCAAGCGAGGCTCCGTAGTGCTCCATCAGACTGGCCAACACCAAGGTCATCTCCTCTCCAGCCCTCTCTGCTGCAGCCTCGTGCTCCATTCCGCTGTCTCTCTCCTGCCAGCTGTGCTCTGAGGGCGATCCTCTGGACAGGGGCAACGACGCCGGACTGTCCGGACTGACCGGACTGACCATGGCCTTCTGTCTCCCTCCTGCAACGCTGTCCGAGGAGGCGGCGCTGTCCACGCTGATCACGGCCCACCCGGAGGGAGAGGACACTGTCTGCGTCCAGTTTGCGGGTGGGGGGGTGGCGGAGGTGGGGGTGCCGTCGGCTGGTGATGGAGTCTGTGCCTTATCGGGGGACGCTGCAGTGGGTAAGGCCATGGCGGCCAGCTCTGCCTCCGAGGGTGACGAAGGAGGTGTGTGGAAGAAATCTAAAGGGGATCCTTGGGACAAAATAAAGAGTTAAAACAAAAAGGGCTACAGTGTCCTTAGCTTGAAAAAGCTCAAACATATCAGTTGAAAAAGGTGCTAAGCCCCTCTCCTCCGTGTCCTGTGTGCAGATGCGAGCAGTCAATGTCCACTCCCTTTTTTACTATCCCGGGCTGACTGATGCAGCAAAAAGCCTCTCCTGCAAATATCTTGGCAGGCAAAAGGCACGCTGTTCCCCCAAGAGGCGAGATAAAGGAGGAGAGCTTGTTTTCCCCCATCTACTAACAGCTGCTCTGACTGCTACCGGAAAAAGGCTTTTCATTCATCATTAGGTGTGCAAGAATGCTGCAGAACCTGTGAATTTCCAAAAAGACGTTCCCAAAATTCCACGAATTTAAAGCTTTCACACTGGAGTTTGACACGTGCTTCACGGAAAAGCTTTTTGCGTGATGAAGATCTTATCTAATCTGTGGTGTGCATATTTTGGCAAGCTAAGGGGAAATGTTCAGCTGTTTGACAGATCTTTTTCTTCTTCCCTTCCTTGTCCTTGTGCTTTAGAGTAAGATTCTGCAGACTCATCAGAGGCTGCTGCAGTGGAGCTATGTCCCTCTTCTATTCTGAACCCACTTCCTTTTTTTAAAATATTTTTTTATATTTATATTTATTTATTTATTTTTATACACACTTTATGTATATTTTCAGATCATACAATATGTCTAAAAAATCAAATCTGTATAGCTATTCAAATCAGAAATGGTGGTAATCTCAGTGTACGAGAAAAAAAATATTGATGAATAAATATAAATCTGTCTTTATTCATTGAATGGAAACAAAACTATGTGAAATACCTGTAGGGACATGATTGTCTTTGCCAGTGTGGTTACCCATGATCCACTTGGGATGGGCTGAGTCTCTCGCCAGGCCGCCTCTGTTGTCCTTCACTCTCTCCTCCGTCTTGCAGACCGTCTGTTGGGTCAGTGCAACAAGGCAATAAACCTGCATTATTCACCAGAATGACTCACTGCTGAACTTTTGATCTGAAAGAGTGAGCTGTGCAAGCTCTCTGGCTCTTTTTTTTGTTTTTTTGTTCTAATGAAATCTATGATGCAAAAATGTTTAACCCCAGAGGAACATTTATGTTTTGACCATTTTTGTTGTTGTTGATCATTTCAAAATAAACACTGTCAACAACAGAGACTTTCTGTTGCTTTCACTGTGTTGATAGTTTTTACAGTCAGGAATCAACACTTGTTTATGGTGGGAAAGGAACAAACAGCCAGATTGTGCCTTACAGCACTTCACTGATGAGATATTGATCATATCCACACTAAGACGATTCCCTTTGGTTAAGACCAGGTCCACCAACCAACTAAGCCATTTAATCTTGCCAAGGGTTTCAATTAATAACAGATGCCCTCTACTTAGATATGATACACTTCGAGAATAGGCCTCTATTAATTAATTAATTTGGCACATAACTCATTGCCCAGGATGAACCAAAAATCATTTTTAATTCAACAACATGTCCATGCTGTTTTTGCGTAAATCCAATACCAAACAGCACGTCCAACTCGCAAATAACATTTCTTCTATCCCACAGGAGGCTTAATCTGCTCGGCTGGTGGCTGAAGTTTGGAGCATGGTTCCCCTCTTTTTTTCTAATGACCAATCCGTAGTCTTTCAGGGGGGAAGGGTTGGTAACATTTTACAGAAGAGCTAGCAGGTGATAGCGAGTTTTGGAATCCTACCGGCTACCTTGCACAAAGCAGAAAAACGCAAGGCTGATTCATCCTACCTGCTCAGGCGGTCAGCTGGAGGCTGTCCAGTCTGGTGTCCGGCTGTCGGTGGGTTCCTTCTCCGTGTGTCTAGGACTCCTTCCCGGAGTGCCCTTCTTCGTCCCTTAACCCAAATTCACCACCAAACACGGGTCGACCCACAGACATTTTCGAGTATTTTTGTCCGGTAAACCACATCCACCGCGGTATTGAGAAAATCAAAAGCCAGACACCATCTATAACTTGAATCCAGTTGATGTCCAACACGGCTGCTTCGCCTTTAAATCCAATGCGACAAAAAGCGAAGGAGGCAGAAAAGTGGTTGCGCAGCAGCTACTTGCATCAACGATATGACGGTTCATAATGACATTATCCAGAACAATACGTTTTTAAAAAAACAACAACTGTGAATTAAACAAGAATATTCAACAAGAAATGTGCGTAATGAGTAAAACACTGGCAAATGGGAGAGCGACAGAGCTCAGAGAGTCCCAAACGCCTGGAGGCTGATTGTCTTTTGTTTAATGCAGGTGTGGTGGCAGGTAGGACTAACAGGTACGGACACTTTCACACGGTCTGCAGGTGCAGCATGTCACGTAGCATTTGTGATAGCTCACTGGTGCACAAAAAGCCAAACGGGCCGAGTAATGTTCCGCAAACAGGGCATAACTTTGTCCATAGAAGTCCAGAGGTAGAGCTTCAGGTTATTCAGGCGGCGAACAAGAGAATGTGGGCACTGTGCCAAGAAGAGGCACAACACATGGTACCATCCACAGCCTATGTCAGGGGTAAAGTTGTGGGGTGGCATTTTTTTTAATGGGGATAGTGCCACAACAATGAGAAAAGCAAATCCAGACACACTTTAGCAAACAAATATTATGTAATATACTTTAAATCTATTTCATTCCCACAAGGAGAGAAGGGAGTAATAATAGCCAACAAATAAATCAAGTTGAATTGTCTTGACCTGATCAGGTTTTACATAAGGTGGCCAGAAGAAAGGTCAGACAATGAGTGTTTGGATGAATAAGCCTGAAATGAAAAGATTGTATTAGCAGACAGATGTATGATGCTAAAACGCATCTTAAAATGAAGATGGAGGGAGTCAGATATTCTGTGTTGACTTTAAACTTTATGTCAAATGTTGGAGAGACCAAGACTGAAAAGACACATTTTACAAGCCCTGCACTGTCCAACCCATGATCTGAGAGTTCATGTGAAAACAAATAGCCAGAAAGAAATAAGTAAGCCTGCAGATAAAATAATAGATTTTTTCCTTCCTTTTACTTTAATGAAGAAATATGTGCTTGTGTTTCAACTGAGACACTGCAGCTTTTGAAACACAACGACCCTATTAATTGTTAGTGTAATATGGAAAGTTTCAGCACCCTGGACAGCGCCATGTGAAAATGATAGTCTGGTTCCCTCTAGTGTCCACATTTACAGGCAACAGGAAACTAAACCTGAAGTAGTTGCATAGAACATCTGAAAAAAATCTGTGATCTTGGGACTTTAAAATCCATTTTATTGTTTCTTCAGATCTGACCAAAATTACAGTTTGAATAAAAACATCAGAACATCATAAAAGTTTAAAATGATAAGCAATGAAGTTCTCCACAGCAATGTTTCCTTCCTTGATGTTGTTGCAGTGCAGCAGCCGAATAAGATAAAATATAATAAAATGAGAAAGTTTGTTAAAAGTTAATACAAATCTGTTTATTTTACCTTTTTGGAAAGAAAGATCCCAACAAACTTACATACCAAGTACTGAAACTAATGGTTGGAAGTCGTACAGAAATTGTGTTGATTGCTTTGCGATGCTTATTCTGAATTACTTAGCATGTTAATAACAGGAGGAGTATAATCTTCTGGGCTATGCAGTGTGAATCCGTGCATAATGTTTTCAGCTTCTGGCTGTTTTGAGCCCTCCCTCCCTGACCCGAACGCCGCTCTGCACAATCAGTGTCAGAATCATTCCCACTATTTCTCCTCACATTAGACCCACTCACTGTTATTACCATAAGCAGCTGGTTAGATCGCTTTTAATAACAAATGTATTCTTCAGAGGTTTACTAAGTGCTAAGGAAAGTAGGACTTCATAAATATTTAGCTCTAAGCCTTACATTGTGAAAGGCCCACGCGTGTTTGCATACAATTTGTGCTTTTGTTTCTTCATACCAAAACCATTGATTTGAATATAACTGCTAGGATCTGATATATGGTTATACTTTCAGCGTTTATTTAAAAGAAACACAAACAAAATGCGTATTTTGGTGCTTAGTTTATGTTTTTTTTGTTTAGATTTTTTAAATAGAAGAATTATGAGTTGTGATTGAGTTAGTTGTTGAAGGTCAGGATACTTTTTTACTATTCACATCACTGACAAGCCCTATTTTATCCTGCAAACAGTTCAAATAACACAATATAGACAGTCTATCATTTTTACAATTCTATATTCAAACAAATGAAAACTGTTTCTTTTAACCCATTTTGCTTGAACCAATCGAAAATGTATTACACTCTTAGCTGCCATTTTAAGTTAGATGTACGTTTTTATTTCCAGACACTAATTTGAGGCATTGCTGTCACTAATCCGTGCACTGTCGCTTTATAGCTAATTATTTTCCTGCCTTCAATAGTTTCCCCCCAATTTTCTTACTTTCTTAATGTGCCTTGAGAAGTTTAACGCCGTATCTCTTACGTGGATCAATACTTGGCTTCTATAGGTGCAGAATGAGTGAAAATGGCGTCTGAAACAGGCTGCCCCTCACAACAGCTGCCGAGCTCTGGGTGACCACAACATCAGTGTGTTTCAAGTCATCTCCCAAGAATGAAGTCTGCCGCAGCATCGGGACTTGCGTCGGAGAGAACAACAACACGCGCACGCCGCCTTCATCATGGGAAACTACGACCGCTCCTCAGCAGACGTCTCTAACGGGCACAGGGATGAATATTTTCAAGAACACCAGGGGACATGATCGCCTCTCATATATCTATCTCCCGTTTACTATCGAAGAAGAAGTGACCTTCTGTGAGGGGGAAGATGTCAGCGCTGAGAAAGGTAGGAGAGGAGAGGAGAGGAGAGGAGAGGAGAGGAAGAGGAGACGCGCGTCGTGCATGAGCGCAGCCTGCGACGCATCTTGTTTTTGTTGTTCCTGGAGATTTGGCCTCAGGCGCATCCACACGAGGTTTTTTTTTTTCAATCTGGACCACCTTAATCTCGCGTGTCACACCTGGCCAAGTGCACGAATATGCAGACCCCCCCCCCCCCCCCCCCCCCCCCAGTCCCAAGTTCTGCGCAGCTGGAATGAGTCGCTTTAATCGATGATTCACTTAATGAATGATTTTTCACCTCACAGCGTGTTCCCGTTTCCCACACCGATCAATCAACCACACGGTGATGCATGGCGTGTGGGTGAGGTGTTTGGAGAAATTAGTGTGCATGTGGTTGGGGGTGGGGGGGGGGGGGGGGGGGGTGATTTTTCCCCTGCTGAAAGGCACAGTGAATGGAGGGGACCCACTCTTTTTCCCACAAGTTTTTTTTTTCTCCCAGTCTATGTATGCCCACATGTTCCCATTGTGCTACTCCCCTCATTCAGTCAATGTGAGTGTGTGGAGTGACTCAGCTGTATTGTACTATATCTGTCATCGTCTTTTCATTTGTCACAGGTGTTACCATGGCTACCACAGACTCACTGCTGTCTTTTCTTTGAGAAGGACTCAGGTAAGCTGTGGGAAGGGTCAGTAATTCAGTCTCAGTGAGGGGATATTGTTAACTTTAAGAGGAACTTTTTTTACAAGATGTCGGTTATTTTGACGGCGTCAGAGGCATGGTAGAAATAAGAGTGGCGTGCTGAAGGCCCTGTGTGTGTTCTCACTGGGATGGCCACCATGTCGACAGCTGTGCATATGCAATAGCTTTAAGTTTATTTTGAGGGATTGTGCTCAACTGTCTTCATTTTCCAACCAACGACTGAACAGAAATAACTAAAAAAAATGCATTTATTGTAAAAGGTATTGTCAGTGTTAAAGAATCTTCCATAAATTGCTGTGATTTAATTTAAAAACCGCTTGAACATCCAAATGAGATTCATATCCAGCAACACTGAAGAAAGATCAGCCCTCTTAGTCAGTGGATGTGAATCATTGCAACTCATCTCTATTTAACACGTTTGGATATTGTCTTTAATAATTGCCAGTGTTTAAAAAAAGGCTTGAATGTGAATT